TAGATGTAATAAACAAATTAAACATTCAGCATCAGCTTCTTCAATTAAATTTTGTTGTTCACTTTCTTCATTTGCTAATAATATAACATAATCATAAGAAAATAAATTTAATTTTTCTAAATCAAATCTATTTGTCAAACTTCCGGAATATACAAATATTTTTTGTTCTGTTAATTCATTAACTAATTGTTCATTTATAAATTGTGTTATTCTATCAGAATTTGTTAATACATGTAGTTCACTACCACGAGCAACATAACTATCCAATTCTTTAGCAATTAATGGAGCTTTATTATTCCATCCGAGTACAAGATTTCGCTCAACTCTTTTTGTTGTTCCTCTAGTCATAGAGTTTGATAATAAAATTGTATTATGATTGATTAATGAAGATAATACTAATCCTGAATGTTCATTATTAATACGTAATAAATAATCGGATGATAATATAATTTTACCATCATCTTCAGCGATAACAATAATTTGATCATCAATATTTATTATTGTATTTAGTCGAGGAAATATTTTAACTGTTCCATCGGATAACATTAATCCAATTACTGAACATTTATTATATGAAAATACAGCATCATAAAATGTTCTACCAACAAGTGCTCTTTCATATTTAAAATAAATTTCATCATTTTGAAATTATAATAAAATTGTTAATATTACACTTAAACTACTTTGTCGACATGATTGAGCTGTAATACGTGCAATTATTTCACCAGCATAGACAAATAATGCTTCATCTCCGCCTAAAACAAAAAAACAAATATTTTATTTTTTACTATTAAATATTTCTGTGAACAGAGCAAAATTATTCGTTTTGTTATTCATGCGATATTGGACAACAACCTATGCATTCGAACGAATTACTTATATAAAAACAAGATAAGTAAAACATGTAAAAGCAAATATTTAAATGTATAAAAACTAATAAAAACCTGCAATTATTGCCGCTTCTAAATTGATTCGTTCTTTTATTTCGGCTACAATATGAAAATTAATATTATTTCGTCGTGGACTATTTCTAATTGCTAATATTGTTTTTATTACTCTAACATCAGAATTGTTTATTTCCGGTGCCAGTATAATTATTGATCGTGCTTGATTAAGACTCAATTTTTTCAAATTATTAATCTAAATTTAATAACATATAATGTAATCATTTATTTATGATATTTAGATACACAATAAAATAGAATATTGAATAAAAAATTCTATTCGACATTCATTATTACGAAAGAGACACAGAAAACAATCAGATGAGTATTATCCAAAAAAAATTCGAATCAATGCTTTCTAGTTTTCGGTTAGAATTTTTGGAAAAAGTGTCTTTTTAATTATTAGAATACTTGGAAAATATTCTTCAAATGATTTTTTATAGTCTACAAGACGAGCGAATAAGGGAAAGAAATGGAAGAGTGCGCTTCAGTTGGAATACTATTATTTTTTCATTGTCATACTATTAGTAAAAGGAAGAGACAAAAAGAAGAGCATTTGTTAAAAACAAAAAGCAATTTTTTTTGTATTTTTTACATACCCACATAGGATCACCATTTCTATAAATAATTCTTGTATTTCTTGAATTATTTACTTTATCTTTAATCATATATTGAACTTCACTTTTATCTTTTGATGTCAAAATAACAATTGAAGGATTACGTTGATTTTCATTTGCAATAATTAATTCATTAATAATATCAAATATTTTTGGTGACCATCCTAAAATTACTAAACACAAAGAAAACAAGAAAGAGTAACAAACTTTTTCTATTTGAATATTTAATCAATTTAATTTATAAATTTTACTTGTATGATTCTTTTCAACAACTGTTGTACGTCCTTTTTTTAATTCATTTAATTTTTCATCCATAAAAGTTACTATTGCACCAATTAATATTGTAACAATAACAAGACCACAAAGTATAACAATTCCAGATGTAATTCGATTTTTTAAACCTTCATTGTCTGCTGCTGCACATGGATCAAGTATACATGTAAATGTTTGCCATAATGCATCTTCATAATTATCTGTTTCTTCAGTATAATAATAAATTACACTAAATATTAATATAATAAATACACTTATAATAGTTAATAATGGAATAATAAAAATTAAACCATGAGCAAATAGATTATTAAATTTATATTTTATATATGAACAAATATATTTTAATATTTTATTATTATTTGAAGAAGATGTGTTACTGTTTGTCGATGTTATTTGCATTCCTTTATTAGTTACATAATTTCTGAAATAAATTACACAAAAAAAAAAATCTAAAATACTAAATAACGTTTTATATTTTGGCATCATTTTTTTTCGATTTATCATTTCTATCATACTTATAATATCATTCGAATCATTTCTCATCTGTGTCTTTTATCTATTTTTTAAAGAGATTTCTTGTCTTTTAATATTTGCAAATAACAAATATAACATGCAACAAAATTTTAACGATATTGTTTTCAGATCGAGCATTACAGTGACCAGAAACGACTGTATACGGCTAAAACAAAGCTGAGGCATATGGTATCCATCAAGAAGCCGTTAAAGATCTTTTCTACACTCCTACGTTTATACCCCCAAAAACTCCAGCCCAATGAGGTACAAAAAAAAATATCGATAAAGATCTTTAGAGACCTTGAAAGATTGTGCAAGATCTTTGAAGATCTTTTCTTTCAAACAAGGTATGTTAATCTCCAAAATACCTACAGAATAAGATATTCTTCAATAAAAGATCTTTCTTTATCAAAATATAAATTCAAGCACGAAAAATATCCTAACATCAGATACTTGAAAGATAAATATCATTAAAGATCTTTTTTTTTCTGAACATCGTAATTATCCCCAAAGCCACCTTGAAAACCAGATACCATTCAAAAAAAGATCCCCCTGTATGAAAGTAGATTGTTAAGTTCTAAAAACACCTTGAAATGAGGTACTTGAAACAAAAAGCGATTTCTAAAGACGGAGAAATATCGTTTCTTTGATGAATAGTACTGCTTAAAAATCAATTTTTCATACTCGTTACTGCTACCTATTTTGCAACTCAAATGAGCCCTGGCACGTGGTGCATCCCTATATATATATATATGGTAGATAGAGTCTCAAAAAGAATAAAAAAGATCATTTTTCGATCGAATAGTACCGTTTAAAGATCGATTATTCATATTTGTTACTGCTAACTGTTTTGCAACTCAAATGAGCTCTAACACGTGGTACACCCCTATACGTATGATAGACATAGTGTGGAAAAGAATGAAAAATCGCGATTGTTTGATGGTGTTATCAATAGCTGCAAACCAATTTCTATTCCAATAGTGGACAGTTTTAGTCTAACTTTTATGCGTTTGTTACCTGTGCACTCAGTGTGAATATATTTTTTTATATGAGATATTGTTTGTAAGGTGGGTGTGTTGTACGAGGGACCTGCAATGTATGAACAGAAATCGAGCAGATCAGAACGTTGGAAAGATATTTGATTTGATAAAAGTATTGCTCACGTCAGAAAACAGAACTAGAGAGTCTTTCTCGACTTTATGGAAACGCAAGTGCTGTCGGCTGTCAACTAATTAGTATAGCCAATCTGCATCATGAAACCTAGCCAAAATACCACTACTATTAGTATTGCACGCACTTTTCTCATTCTGAGTCCCTACGAAACTGGTACCATTCGACGCAGAATTAAATTCTGCAACTAACCCAAGTAATATAGCGAATCCGGACAAAAAAGGCGAATATGGTGCTAACTTTACCGACGTTTTTAAAAGTAAGATATGACAACATTCAAAAACGTATCACTACCTTTGAAATTGCTCAAGACTTTACGAATGCTTCTAGCGCATTAGTTAGATTTGAAGACAAAAGTGTAAAAATTAATTATATCTGTTTGCAGCTGAACCATGACCTAAACAAGGAGGGTTATATTAACGTCACTGTCAATAACTCTGATGGGTATGAGTACGTCAATAAAAGCTTTAGATCAGAGGACTATAGAGAAATTATCAATTAATCAATCATATGAAGAAGTATATGAAGCGATGTACATCATATCATACACGAATAATACTTATTTTCTTTTCCTCATCTAAAGTATACTTGTTGTAAACCTCACTAGTAAACTGTCCTAATAAGATCTTGCTATTTTCGTTTCTCTTTTCTTTCTTCATCTTTTTTATACTCTATTTTGCCCAACAAAGAATTTTTAGAAGTTGCCATAGTCTACTGGTATGTGAAAAGCTCAAAGAACACCTAGTGAACTTCAAGTAGGTGCTCTTCATCACTTATCTAGTGAGAGTTATTCTATTTTCAAGTCATGCACGATTTTGATATAGCAGTATGAGATATATATATGAACAATATTTACATTAATATTTCAATAAAGTTGAGGGTGTGGGTGTGAGGTGCCAGTGTAGGTATTCGCTTGTTGCACATTCTCACACCCACCCACACCCTTCCATTTGCCGAATCTAGAATCCATCATTGCCTGTAACGATCGACAGTAGGACTTATTACTTTTAACTGTTCCACCTCGATTACCTTTTCGATTGTGGTAGTGTACTTATTTTAACTTAAGGCAACGCAGTAATTATGTTTTGAATTTATGCGTTTCATAGATTAAATTAAATTAATTCATTTGATGCTTTCTATTTTAGAAACTTATTATTTATGGATTATTCATTTACTTTCTTTTTCAAATTTTCGTCTTGGAATTATATACATTTTCGGAATTATATATTGAGGACAAATACTTTTCTAACACCTTATAATCTCATCATCATCAATAATAATCATAGGTAACCCCATGAGAAGCCGGAAATAATATGTAAAAATTAACGCTAGATAGTTCGGTATGATGGAAAAAGGCAGAAAGGAAAAATATCGAAAGGGAAAAATGTCGAAAATAAAAATATCGAAAACGAAAATAACACAAATGTAGATGGATAGAAATGCTGAAAACGAGAGTATATTGAAGTACAAATCTTCCTCAGCCTCATCTTCAATCTTACATGTTCATCTTCGACTCATATTCTTGTTTTCGACATTTTTATTTTCGATGTTTTTTCCTTTCGGCATTTTTCCTTTCTGCCTTTTTCCATCCATTCGATAGTTCTATTCGTTGTTCTCTATGATGGTAGTTATGTACAAAACATATATTGTATGAAAATAGATAACCTTTTGTGTTAATTCAATCTCATATAGTTCATTTGAACACGAAACAACTTTCAAGTTATTCTTCTTTATCCTTAAATACTCAATCCTTGTTTTATCAGTACATATATATTGTTCTCCTGCACTTCTCATTTCTCATTAGTATATTATCAACGAACGAATGATAGAAAAGAGAGAAAATAAACAAAATTATGTGAAGAAGAGAAAAGAGAATAGAAGATGCAGCGATTTTTTTCTTTTCAGTTACACGTAAATAGAGCAACATCTTTTACATTGCTGAGAATGAGCAAATGAAAGTGACTTGCTCACTGCTCGTGTCAATGCACGCTATATAACTGACATGGATATTGTGAATAATTTTAATAAT